TTAGATGTAGATCTCAGGAAATATAGAAACGATCTTTCGTTGTTGTAATATATTCTAGAACGTATTTTAGACATAAATAAACCAACTGTACGTTGTTTTGACATTTCGACAGTTACATTTGTGCTACTAAAACAGATTAAAGTCTAAAATATATTTCTATAAATTGAACAAGTAAAAATATATTGTAACAACATCGTATATAAAATAACGCCCAATGCTGAATTACATAAGCCAAATTGTAGATAAGTTTGCATTTTAGGGTTACCTCCCATGGATTTAATTCACTAACAAAAATACATTTACGACCGGTTTAAAAATCAATAATAAAATCTTGTTTCACTTTTAAAAGATTTAAAATATATATATAATATAAATTCTGAACAAAATATAAAGCTGTAAAAATACAAAGATTTACAATGAGATTTTGTAAAGTCCTGTTAACAAATTGTGAATGATAACAAACATCACAGCTCAAATATGTTGGACGGAGATAATTCACAACAAGTACAGTCATCATTGCACAAATAAAATAGAACTGAATCATGGTAAATATATATATTACCTACATACTTATATCTTTGGTAGGTGTAAAAAGTGTTTGCAGCAGTGTAAATATTGACAAAAAGGAACCAATCAATACAATAGATACTGAAAAGGTCAACACATGAATGTAGGATAGATTACCTAACCAGAAAAATAATCATATTTATTGAAATAATAGTACTGAAAAATGGAGACAATATACGATAGCGAAGTTAAAACAAAGGTTATTTACTAGTATTCATAGAAAAAAGGAGATTTGCGTTCTGGAGTTGCACAGCTTAATTTAAGTCTGCACAAGAATGTAGGGTTTCTTACCTAACCAGAATAATAGATAAAACAAAAAATAATAATAAAAATAGGAAAGAAAGACGATACATAATAATGAAATCCACACAGAGTTGATTTGAAATAATTACATCAAAAATAGATAAAACGGAAGACATGCGAAGCGTCATAGCGTTCTCGATTTGTGCTACATGTTCACTGCTCAGCATCGCTTGGCCTCTATAGAATATATACATCACAGTTTTCCCTTCGGATTGCAGGTTATATATATACTGTATATAAAGATATAGATACGACACTACGGTAAGTTTTGTTCTATACAATATGTACAATTTATAGCATCTACAAATATGTAGTATTTTATCAGTGTTTTGATTTGGTATTTGATTCCGGAAACGGGTATAAACTATTTTTAAAGCTATATTTAGAGTTAGTTTCTTTAATAACAAATAAAATTGGAACAAAGTTTAAATCATTTCTAAACCATGAACAATTTTTCATCGAAATTATCTCATTCTGCCGCTATAACTATTAACTCCTTTTTCTACGCTGCAGTGTTATCTGTGAATGTGTGACGTCATTTCATGATCAAAACCTGACGTCACGATAGGTAATTTTACCCATGCGTAGAAATTTCACAAAGGTTTATCTAACACAGCAGTTATGTGATGAGATTTAAGATAATGAAGTGCAATGATAAATAAACTACATGGCTTATAAGCATATGATCAGGTATTCAAAAAAGTGAGATTATATTGAAATGTAGTTTCTACTTTCTGGTTATTCTTTGAGATTCTTATACAATAAAAACACACTCCTGATTTATTTCCGAAAAAAAAAAACCGTTTTGTGTGTTTAAGTTTAGACTTTTCCCGCTAACAGGTACTCGACACTTTGACTATCAAAATATACTAACATAAGGGTTGATCTAGTTTAAACATAAAATACAAACAGGATGTGTTGATCGAGCTTGATTACTGATATAAAAAGAAAATATTTTACAATTTCTTCTTTTATCTGTAGCATAAATATTATGCTGATAACACTTTTAGATATGACAAAACTCCGTTTACATGTTATTTATCAAACAAAGCAAACATTCATGTGGTGTAAGGTTGAAATGTACAATTAAAGATAAATTGTTTAATTGGAGAGCTGATTCTTTTCCTACACTAAATAATGCAATTACGGACGCTTGGAGAACTCATTCATCAATTAACAATTATATAAAACCATACAAGATGTCAGTCGTATGATACACTTCGTAATACTGTAGTACAAAAAAATGCAATGTTGAGTAAACTTGTTTATCAAAATATACGAAACAAAAATACATAGAGCATTTAATTTTGTCAAAAAAGTTCTAAACAATAAACGAATTCCTGCTAGACTGGAACATTGTTTGTTTATAAATATCTGATAAAGCCGAACTTTGTATATACGTTTGTTGATTAATTGAGGAAAAAACACACAATGATAAAAATAGAAAAAATATCAATATGTAAATATGCATAAAGACAATAAACATCAATTCAAGAAAATATCAACCTTGACATAGGGACATATTGACATAAAGAAAACCGATTCCACTCAAGTAATGGGCGGTAGAACTATACTTCAAGACACACACAACATAAACATTAACACAAGCTATCAATGCTTGATCAAACAACACCTATAACACAGGACATTTTGGTTTGCAATGGAACATAAGTAACATTAGATATACAAATCATGATGGATTGTCGTAACATTTAACACTTATTTCATCCATGCTACCTTATATTCAGAATATTATGCCACACCAAGATGGAAAATGAGAAACAGAAAAAAAAATTGCATACGTAAATGTTGTAACAGAGACAATGGTGAACATAATACACTTAAACAAACTAGTTCTTATGTATTTAAAGACTACATGCTTCTATGCAACAAACACTCGACCTATCAGTACAAAATGTGCAAAAAGTGTCTAGGTCAAAGACGAAACCAAGGCGGCACAGATGGTCTGTTCCCTCGCCTTCCTGTTTAACACAAGCCGCTCTAAGGAGCATCGAACAATGTCGTTTTAATATTCACCTGAAGTAGAGTAGGTTAATGTGTTATCGACAGAACTACTGCGGCCCCTTTTTGAAAGTTCTAATATAAGAGGTAAAATTTATAATATAGATATTTACAGTCCTTCTGGTAGCATTGGCCTGGCTATTGCCAGTATTTAGTTGGTATACCAAATTTCCGATTTAAAAAGAAAAAAAATCTGTTTTTAACGAAAATATCACAAAGAGGGGTATGAATATGACTGAAATCAAAGAAACCAGAAATTGAGATATAGCATGGTGTGTATAGCACATCTAATATCTGATAATGCCGAGGTCAACGTTACAACAGAATGAGGTTAGATGGACGGCTGAGCATAGTTTCAGGACATTTAAACACAGTTGTAATTATGTCCACAAACACATCTTAACCATGAAATGATTGAATATAAATACTAAGTGACAAGCAATTGAAAAAAAAAAACTCTTTGTGTTGATTTTTTTCTTTTTAAACATTGAAACACGTGTTTGTTAAGTAGGCATACAAACGCGCTAAGTGATAGTTAAGGAGTAATATATAAACGACACGTGTACGTTATCATCTATAATACATAAATGTGGGTACAACACATGCAAAGGCGTTGAGAAAACGAGCAACAGAAAATGATTACAGACGTAAATGTTGCAACCGAGACAATGGTGAACTTAATACACTTAAACAAACTAGTCGATATATAACGTTATAACAGAATGAGGTTAGGTGGAATGAAGAGCATAGTTTCGGGACATTTAAACACAACATACTGATAGTTAAGGAGTAATTCCTAAACGACACGTGTACATTAGCATTTATAATACATAAATGTGGGGACAAACACATGCAAAGGCGTAGAGTAAACGTGAAGCAGAATGTGTACATATATCTAACATGTATATCAAGGTCGGAATACAATTAAAACAGGTGTAAATATAAACAAACACGACAGGTAATTGCAAAACATGTACACATTCATAGGTATTTACGAGATGGTGGTTTCAGACGATTTTAGAATGTATATACAGTACATGACAATGTGTATTTATAGATCTTTATAATCGTGTTAGGGGTCTGTTTCTTATGGATTCACTTTCATTGATTACTCGAGAAATTTGCTCAGGTTCGATATCATATCCCCCTATATTTTAGTCAGAGATTCTTCTGTTTGGTAAATAAAAACGAGATAACATATATCATTCATCTTTCCGATTGAGATTAATGTAGATTATTGTCGGTTTTGTTTTGCAAGGTTATATTACACGAAACGTCAATATGTGTAATCAACCATTTCTTCCTCACGTAGATCTTTAACAGACACTTAAGACATCTGATATCATCATATAAATTGTCATCCACCACACAGTGGTAGAATTGTCAATAAAACATATGAACATTGGATATTTGCAGAGGAATGCCTCTTTGTCAATACGAGTAGGATATCATCAAATGAGATAGAAATGAACCTGTTTGCTTTTATTTACAGTGAGGAAAATCTAAATTTAAAAGCAGTTACATTATTTCGCCAAAGCAATTCCCTTATGAAACAAAGGCAATTACTTATAGCAATACCTCCGATTGGATTCGCACCCAGAATCTCCAGTTTACGTCTGAAGTCCTACGCAAAATCAATCAAGCCGAATAGAAGACCTCTCTAGCCGAGTGATGTATTACGGCTACTATTTACCAGCGTTACACGAATGACTTTAAAACTATTTTTTACGCGATAAAAGTAAAGACAGATGTAGGCTACATCCCTTTTTAATCAGTACATGCTGTTCATGTTTCATTTAGAGCAACTTTCGAAAATTTATATCACGAAATAAAAGGGATATGCAAACGTCAGTATTTAACTACACTGGTAAATAATTTAACTTTGTTAACTTTATCCAAGTGACGTACATCGCTTAAAATGCGGGTATATGAATTAATCCAATAATTTATATTAAGTCTCAAGATCGGATATATTTAGTGTGATAATTTGAAAAAGTAGTATGGAAAAAGACACGTTTAAAGTATATTTATGTCCAACAAAAAGAAGTTATCCTCCTTAAGTTACACTTGTATTTTACCATGACTTATCAAAAGTAAAGCTGATTTTGTTAACATAATTTTGAAAGGCTGCTTATCACAATACAAACTATACATAACGCTAACATTACAACACTGTCTGTCATCGTGCGGCTTCCGCCATTTTCAAAGCCTGCCTCAACATCTTCTAATGACTGTACCGTGGATGTTGCTGATGTTACTGACGTTGTCGGTGTTGCAGTTGTTGAAGTTGAAGTTGATGATGTTGCAGTTGTTGAAGTTGTAGTCGATGGTGTTGCAGTTGTTGAAGTTGTAGTCGATGGTGTTGCAGTTGATGAAGTTGATGTTGTTGGTGTTGTTGGCGATGCAGTTGATGAAGTTGTAGTCGATGTTGTTTCTGTTGTTGAAGTTGAAGTTGTTTGTGTTGCAGTTGTTGAAGTTGAAGTTGATGGTGTTGCAGTTGATGAAGTTGTAGTCGTTGTTGTTGCAATTGTTGAAGTTGATGTTGATGCAGTTGATGAAGCTGATGTTGTTGGTGTTGGAGTTGATGAAGTTGAAGTTGTTGGTGTTGCAGTTGTTGAAGTCGATGGTGTTACAGTTGTTGAAGTTGATGGTGTTGCAGTTGATGAAGTTGTAGTCGTTGTTGTTGCAATTGTTGAAGTTGATGTTGATGCAGTTGATGAAGCTGATGTTGATGGTGTTGCAGTTGTTGAAGTTGATGGTGTTACAGTTGTTGAAGTTGATGGTGTTGCAATTGATGAAGTTGTAGTCGTTGTTGTTGCAATTGTTGAAGTTGATGGTGTTGCAGTTGATGAAGTTGATGTTGTTGGTGTTGCAATTGTTGAAGTTGTTGTCGTTGGTGTAGCAGTTGCTGAAGTTGTAGTCGTTAGTGTTTCAGATATTGAAGTTGTAGTTGTTGGTTCTGCAGTTGTTGAAATTGACGGTGTTGCATTTGTTGAAGTTGAAGTTGTTGGTGTTGCAGTTGTTGAAGTTGATGGTGTTGCAGTTGTTGAAGTTGACGCTGTTGGTGTTTCAGTTGCCGAAGTTGTAGTTTCTTCAGATGATGATGCAGATGTTGTAGTTGTTTGAGTTGTACTTGGTGGTACAGAATCTATCCCTGTCGATGTTGAAGACGACATTCCTAATGTCGATGTAGTGGGTGTCTCTGACGAAGACGATATTTCTAACGTCGATGTAGTGGGTGTCTCTGACGAAGACGATATTACTACCGATGTTAAATCTATCGATTCTACAGTTGGAATACTCCCTTCAAAAGTTGACTGAGCTGCCTCTGACGTTGTTGATTCTGCAGTTGGATTTGTCACTTCTGATGTCGGATGTATTGCTTCTGATGTTGAAATTGGTGCTTCTGAAGTTTCATTTGTGGCTCCCGTTGTCTGAGTTATTGGTTCTGATACTTCGGATGTTGTGAATGATGTTGAAGGAGTTGAATCTTGTATATCAGATACTGCATCAGATGTTTGAAACGTAAATACTGATGTGTGATCTGAAGAGTCTGAAGTCGGAAATTCTGATTCTGGTGTAGAAAATGAAGCTACAGTTGGCTCTGATGTGTCATACGTGTTTTGTGATGGAAATACTTCGTCATCTAAAGTTGAACTTGAACTTGATACTTTGATTGTTGATGAAACACTGAAATCCGGTGTCACGGAGGTCGATATGTCATCAGAGGTCCAGACATCTGTAGACATTTCTGCAGATATCGTTTCAACAGAATAACTATCAGATGATACAGTAGGATGTGATGAATCTGACACTGGTGGTTTAGTATTTTCATCAGTTGAACCTGTCTTGAACGTCCAGGAATCTGACGAATCCGACACTGGTGGTTTGGTATAACCATCTGTTGAACCTGTTTTGAACGCCCAGGAATCTGACGAATCGGAAACTGGTGGTTTGGTATTTTCATCAGTTGAACCTGTCTTGAACGCCCAGGAATCTGACGAATCGGAAACAGGTGATTTGGTATAACCATCTGTTGAACCTGTCTTAAAATCCCAGGTATCTGACGAATCCGACACTGGTGGTTTGGTATATTCATCTGTTGAATCTGTCTTGAACGTCCAGGAATCCGACGAATCGGAGACTGGTGGTTTGGTATTTTCATCAGTTGAACCTGTCTTGAACGCCCAGGAATCCGACGAATCTGATACTGGTGGTTTTGTATTTTCATCAGTTGAACCTGTCTTGAACGCCCAGGAATCTGACGAATCGGAAACAGGTGATTTGGTATAACCATCTGTTGAACCTGTCTTAAAATCCCAGGTATCTGACGAATCCGACACTGGTGGTTTGGTATATTCATCTGTTGAACCTGTCTTGAACGCCCAGGAATCTGACGAATCGGAAACAGGTGATTTGGTATAACCATCTGTTGAACCTGTCTTAAAATCCCAGGTATCTGACGAATCCGACACTGGTGGTTTGGTATATTCATCTGTTGAATCTGTCTTGAACGCCCAGGAATCTGACGAATCGGAGACTGGTGGTTTGGTATTTTCATCAGTTGAACCTGTCTTGAACGCCCAGGAATCCGACGAATCTGATACAGGTGGTTTTGTATTTCCATCAGTTGAACCTGTCTTGAACGCCCAGGAATCTGACGAAACGGAAACAGGTGATTTGGTATAACCATCTGTTGAACCTGTCTTGAACGCCCAGGAATCTGACGAATCCGACACTGGTGGTTTTGTATTTCCATCAGTTGAACCTCTCTTGAACGCCCAGGAATCTGACGAAACGGAAACAGGTGATTTGGTATAACCATCTGTTGAACCTGTTTTGAACGCCCAGGAATCCGACGAATCTGATACTGGTGGTTTTGTATTTTCATCAGTTGAACCTGTCTTGAACGCCCAGGAATCTGACGAATCGGAAACAGGTGATTTGGTATAACCATCTGTTGAACCTGTTTTGAACGCCCAGGAATCCGACGAATCTGATACTGGTGGTTTTGTATTTTCATCAGTTGAACCTGTCTTGAACGCCCAGGAATCTGACGAATCGGAAACAGGTGATTTGGTATAACCATCTGTTGAACCTGTCTTGAACGCCCAGGAATCTGACGAATCGGAAACTGGTGGTTTGGTATATTCATCTGTTGAACCTGTCTTGAACGCCCAGGAATCCGACGAATCTGATACTGGTAGTTTTGTATTTTCATCAGTTGAACCTGTCTTGAACGCCCAGGAATCTGACGAATCGGAAACTGGTGGTTTGGTATAACCATCTGTTGAACCTGTCTTGAACGCCCAGGAATCTGATGAATCGGAAACTGGTGGTTTGGTATATTCATCTGTTGAACCTGTCTTGAACGCCCAGGAATCTGATGAATCCGACACCGGTGGTTTGGTATTTTCATCAGTTGAACCTCTCTTGAACGCCCAGGAATCTGACGAAACGGAAACAGGTGATTTGGTAAAACCATCTGTTGAACCTGTCTTGAACGCCCAGGAATCCGACGAATCTGATACTGGTGGTTTGGTATTTTCATCAGTTGAACCTGTCTTGAACGCCCAGGAATCTGACGAATCGGAAACAGGTGATTTGGTATAACCATCTGTTGAACCTGTCTTGAACGCCCAGGAATCCGACGAATCTGATACTGGTGGTTTGGTATTTTCATCAGTTGAACCTGTCTTGAACGCCCAGGAATCTGACGAATCGGAAACAGGTGATTTCGTATAACCATCTGTTGAACCTGTCTTGAACGCCCAGGAATCTGACGAATCGGAAACAGGTGGTTTGGTATTTTCATCAGTTGAACCTGTCTTGAACGCCCAGGAATCCGACGATTCGGAAACTGGTGGTTTGGTATTTTCATCAGTTGAACCTGTCTTGAACATCCAGGAATCCGACGAATCGAAAACTGGTGGTTTGGTATTTTCATCAGTTGAACCTGTCTTGAACGCCCAGGAATCCGACGAATCGGAAACATGTGATTTGGTATAACCATCTGTTGAACCTGTCTTAAAATCCCAGGAATCCGACGAATCCGACACTGGTGGTTTGGTATAACCATCAGTTGAACCTGTCTTGAACGCCCAGGAATCTGACGAATCGGAAACATGTGATTTGGTATAACCATCTGTTGAACCTGTCTTAAAATCCCAGGAATCCGACGAATCCGACACTGGTGGTTTGGTATAACCATCTGTTGAACCTGTCTTGAACCCCCAGGAATCCGACGAATCGGAAACTGGTGGTTTGGTATAACCATCTGTTGAACCTGTCTTGAACGCCCAGGAATCCGACGAATCTGATACTGGTGGTTTGGTATTTTCATCAGTTGAACCTGTCTTGAACGCCCAGGAATCTGACGAATCGGAAACTGGTGGTTTGGTATAACCATCTGTTGAACCTGTTTTGAACGCCCAGGAATCCGACGAATCTGATACTGGTGGTTTTGTATTTTCATCAGTTGAACCTGTCTTGAACGCCCAGGAATCTGACGAATCGGAAACAGGTGATTTGGTATAACCATCTGTTGAACCTGTCTTGAACCCCCAGGAATCCGACGAATCTGTTGAAACTGTCTTAAAATCCCAGGAATCCGACGAATCTGATACTGGTGGTTTTGTATTTTCATCAGTTGAACCTGTCTTGAACGCCCAGGAATCTGACGAATCCGACACTGGTGGTTTGGTATTTTCATCAGTTGAACCTGTCTTGAACGCCCAGGAATCTGATGAATCCGACACTGGTGGTTTGGTATTACCATCTGTTGAACCTGTCTTGAACGCCCAGGAATCTGATGAATCCGACACCGGTGGTTTGGTATTTTCATCAGTTGAACCTGTCTTGAACGCCCAGGAATCTGACGAATCGGAAACAGGTGATTTGGTATAACCATCTGTTGAACCTGTCTTGAACGCCCAGGAATCCGACGAATCTGATACTGGTGGTTTGGTATTTTCATCAGTTGAACCTGTCTTGAACGCCCAGGAATCTGACGAATCGGAAACAGGTGATTTGGTATAACCATCTGTTGAACCTGTCTTGAACGCCCAGGAATCCGACGAATCTGATACTGGTGGTTTGGTATTTTCATCAGTTGAACCTGTCTTGAACGCCCAGGAATCTGACGAATCGGAAACAGGTGATTTGGTATAACCATCTGTTGAACCTGTTTTGAACGCCCAGGAATCCGACGAATCTGATACTGGTGGTTTTGTATTTTCATCAGTTGAACCTGTCTTGAACGCCCAGGAATCTGACGAATCGGAAACAGGTGATTTGGTATAACCATCTGTTGAACCTGTCTTGAACGCCCAGGAATCCGACGAATCTGATACTGGTGGTTTTGTATTTTCATCAGTTGAACCTGTCTTGAACGCCCAGGAATCTGACGAATCGGAAACAGGTGATTTGGTATAACCATCTGTTGAACCTGTTTTGAACGCCCAGGAATCTGACGAATCTGATACTGGTGGTTTGGTATTTTCATCAGTTGAACCTGTCTTGAACGCCCAGGAATCCGACGAATCTGAAACTGGTGGTTTGGTATTTTCATCAGTTGAACCTGTCTTGAACGCCCAGGAATCCGACGAATCTGATACTGGTGGTTTGGTATTACCATCTGTTGAACCTGTCTTGAACGTCCAGGAATCCGACGAATCGAAAACTGGTGGTTTGGTATTTTCATCAGTTGAACCTGTCTTGAACGCCCAGGAATCTGATGAATCGGAAACTGGTGGTTTGGTATAACCATCTGTTGAACCTATCTTAAAATCCCAGGAATCCGACGAATCTGATACTGGTGGTTTGGTATTTTCATCAGTTGAACCTGTCTTGAACGCCCAGGAATCTGACGAATCGGAAACAGGTGATTTGGTATAACCATCTGTTGAACCTGTCTTGAACGCCCAGGAATCAGACGAATCTGAAACTGGTGGTTTGGTATTTTCATCAGTTGAACCTGTCTTGAACGCCCAGGAATCTGACGAATCGGAAACAGGTGATTTGGTATAACCATCTGTTGAACCTGTTTTGAACGCCCAGGAATCCGACGAATCTGATACTGGTGGTTTTGTATTTTCATCAGTTGAACCTGTCTTGAACGCCCAGGAATCTGACGAATCGGAAACAGGTGATTTGGTATAACCATCTGTTGAACCTGTCTTGAACGCCCAGGAATCCGACGAATCTGATACTGGTGGTTTGGTATTTTCATCAGTTGAACCTGTCTTGAACGCCCAGGAATCTGACGAATCGGAAACAGGTGATTTGGTATTTTCATCAGTTGAACCTGTCTTGAACGCCCAGGAATCTGACGACTCTGACACTGGTGGAACATTGTCACTAGTTGAACTTTCTAATGTGATTGCCGATCCAGATGGCAAATCAGATGAAATGGGCGTGGCATTCGTTACAGTAGTGTTTGGTGTTTTTGTTGTTCCCCCTGGATCTTGGGTTGGCGTAGGCAGAGGCTCATCTGTAGCGTCAAGCGTCGGCAAATTGGAATCCGTACTTTGTGCTGATATACCTGATATCACGGCTCCTGTAAATGGAAAAATTAAAATTCTGAACATAGAAACGATTATGACAGCTTTTCTATACCTTTTTTCAGTATTTCATAAAACATCAAGAAAATACCAACATGGTAACATAATTACAATTCAAACTCCGTAAAACTAGGGCAAACTATGAATGAAGGAAGTACATGGAGAATAAGACCCGGTGTTCCGGGAGAGTATACGTCTTCTGCTTCATAGACTACATCCGTCATGTAAACCTTGATTAATCCAAGTATGCCATGTCAATGAGAACAAGATATAAAACAACGGAACCAACAGGCAAACTAACGAACATCAAACAAGTCCAGCTTCATATCACACAACGGAACCAACAGGCAAACTAACGAACATCAAACAAGTCCAGCTTCATATCACACAACGGAACCAACAGGCACACTAACGAACATCAAACAAGTCCAGCTTCATATCACACAACGGAACCAACAGGCAAACTAACGAACATCAAACAAGTCCAGCTTCATATCACACAACGGAACCAACAGGCAAACTAACGAACATCAAACAAGTCCAGCTTCATGTCGCACAATAAATCTGTTACCAAAATAACAAATTAAGGAACGTTTTAATTGCAAATACTACGTACTATCTTCCTAATTCTAATCGTTCTTGAAAGGTATTTATTTGGACAAGGCTTTAGAGCGAGTACAGGTCGTTCATGTTTGGGGATAAAAAATACAGGTATTCAATACCCAATCACATATATGTCATATCGACGCATACAGATAAAATCTTATATACTCTATCAAAACAGACAGGGCTTGGAATATCATATTAAAACGTACAGATAGGGCTTGACATATCATATCAAAACGTACAGATAGGACTTGACATATCATATCAAAACGTACAGATAGGGCTTGGAATATCATATCAAAACGTACAGATAGGGCTTGGAATATCATATCAAAACGTACAGATAGGGCTTGGAATATCATATCAAAACGTACAGATAGGGCTTGGAATATCATATCAAAACGTACAGATAGGGCTTGGAATATCATATCAAAACGTACAGATAGGGCTTGGAATATCATATCAAAACGTACAGATAGGGCTTGGAATATCATATCAAAACGTACAGATAGGGCTTGGAATATCATATTAAAACGTACAGATAAGGCTTGGAATATCATATCAAAACGTACAGATAGGGCTTGGAATATCATATCAAAACGTACAGATAGGGCTTGGAATATCATATCAAAACGTACAGATAGGGCTTGACATATCATATCAAAACGTACAGATAGGGCTTGACATATCATATCAAAACGTACAGATAGGGCTTGACATATCATATCAAAACGTACAGATAGGGCTTGGAATATCATATCAAAACGTACAGATAGGGCTTGACATATCATATCAAAACGTACAGATAGGGCTTGGAATATCATATCAAAACGTACAGATAGGACTTGACATATCATATCAAAACGTACAGATAGGGCTTGACATATCATATCAAAACGTACAGATAGGGCTTGGAATATCATATCAAAACGTACAGATAGGGCTTGGAATATCATATCAAAACGTACAGATAGGGCTTGGAATATCATATCAAAACGTACAGATAGGGCTTGGAATATCATATCAAAACGTACAGATAGGACTTGGAATATCATATAAAAACGTACAGATAGGGCTTGGAATATCATATCAAAACGTACAGATAGGACTTGACATATCATATCAAAACGTACAGATAGGGCTTGGAATATCATATCAAAACGTACAGATAGGGCTTGACATATCATATCAAAACGTACAGATAAGGCTTGGAATATCATATCAAAACGTACAGATAGGGCTTGGAATATCATATCAAAACGTACAGATAGGGCTTGGAATATCATATCAAAACGTACAGATAGGGCTTGACATATCATATCAAAACGTACAGATAGGGCTTGGAATATCATATCAAAACGTACAGATAGGGCTTGGAATATCATATCAAAACGTACAGATAGGACTTGACATATCATATCAAAACGTACAGATAGGGCCTGGAATATCATATCAAAACGTACAGATAGGACTTGACATATCATATCAAAACGTACAGATAGGGCTTGGAATATCATATCAAAACGTACAGATAGGACTTGACATATCATATCAAAACGTACAGATAGGGCTTGGAATATCATATCAAAACGTACAGATAGGGCTTGACATATCATATCAAAACGTACAGATAGGGAAAATTTTGAATGTTACAACAAAATTTGGTCTCTCTCCAAAAATAATTTCATAATGTTGTTATGAAGCCTGGAATGACATTATGTTCATTACATGCTTTGCTATTTATGATTTCACAAAATTAAAGTGTGATTACACATGTCAAACGATGGAGATTGACCACTAGTTGTATAATTTCTGCTATGAAATCGATATCATTGTATAAATTCACCAGACGTATTGGGAAGACAATAGTACAGAGATTTGTGCCAGTTTGCTTTCATTGTGGTTTCATTGCTGAACTGTAGCTATAAACATAATATGATACTGATAGTGAAAACATTACTTCATAAATATCTATTAAAACCAGGCAACATCGTCACGTGATGACACCATGACAGATGAAATAGACCAAGCAGATACCAACATTTGAACATAAGTATAACCCAAACTCGAATTCAGTAAAGTTATGGCAAACTTTGTACAAAAGAATGATTAACATGACAATGATTCCAGTAGAAATGAAAATAAGACAAACTATTGTGGAACAGTACTTCTTTTTTCCTTTTCTGGCGATACCCGTCACGTGTATCGGACGAGCAATAGATCTACATTATACTGCATTAACGCTAAGAACTAATTTGTTCGAACAAATATAAATGACGTCATAACTGTCCATTATTAGTTGTACTTTGTAAAATTACAACTGATTCTCTATTGGTAATTAGCAATAGGTAAGCATTGAGTGCTGATTCCCGTGGTGGTACATTTTGGTACCGAGATTAAATTCCGCCAATAGGAATTTCTTAATGACAAGTCTGGTAGTTTTCAATGACATTGGTGTTAAGTTAGTACTTATGGTTGTAAGGATTGTGTCCAGTCTATTATATCATTGTGGTGTTGTAATGCTTTTAAAGACTGTCTCGGTATACAATGGCTGGTAGGTCAATACGTCCTTGATGAATGCATCTAACAACATTTGCGATTACAATGTCTACAGATTGTAGTTAATTTGACATCGTTAACACTTACAACATTCCATTAATGACAATACTATCTAACAGCTGCTTGGGGACAAACACGATACTTTTGTGGAATTAGTAACATTAGCAAAATATTATCGGACAAGTTCGGCAAGGATATATTGTTACATTTCAACTGAGCTCCACGTGCACCTCACTGCGGCAAAGAATTGAAACACAAGGGGCGATAACCCAGTTATCAGAAAGACCTCTATTCATTTGTTTTGTCACTAGCGTAGATCTCATTGAACTAAATGAACAAATATTCTGTTACAACGTTTATAAGTTACATTTTGGTATGTACTTTGAATGAAATATATGATTACTGAACATTGTTACCAAATTGAAACGAAAAGATCGTGTCAGGGTATTATTTCTTCTGTTCAAGAATCTAGGGGAAATAACATCAATTACGTGGTGGGTTTTCATTGTTTTTTGTTTTGAGGACAATACGGGGTGTTGTTTATATCTTTAACTGATTCCAACGATAATACCGATACCATGTCTTTGTATGGTCGTGACTATATATGTAAACATCTGTACATTGATTTATCCGTGCACAAAGACCCTGCACTTGTCGGCTACTTTAATGATAAGTCAAGGCCTGAAAGAGATATGTTAATTTTATCTCCAGTGCAGAAGAGTTCATAGTTTAATGACTTTGAGTAAGCTCTATTTTATAGAGGTATTTAAAGCTATTATTACGGCGAATAATAACATATCAAAGTATGTAATCATATGATGCGGTATGCTATTTCACATGGTAATAAAATGTGAATGGATGTTCTATGATTTATGAACATCCTTTTTATTTTACATTTAAAGGCATTTGTCTCTGTTGTCATCGACAAAAAGTCAAATTATTTCTCAAAGGAATGGCGCCAGTTTTGGCCAGGATCTCAAGGATCATGTGGGGTGATAATTCCGCCAAGGAAAGATTAGGTTGTCTTGGTTACGATAGACGTTGTGTCTGATTGAGTTAAATAATGAAGACTTTTAGTGCAAATAAACACCTAGTTGTATCTAGCGGAGCACACAAATAAACTGTTATATAACTTTACTTTTTATATAAAGTTTTTGAAATCTTGAATTACAATTGATATATTGCTGTATAATACTACCTGACGGGCGACATTCTATTTGTCTGTCACCTAAATTATATTCATATCGACTGTATACTGCCATTTGGTAACAGCTCAATGCTGAAACATCATCCCGCTTTGAGCCCGAGCTTGTCTTTAGAACAACACAATTTCTGATGGAATGACTAAAGCAGGATATTCAGCTGACATTTGAAAAAAATGTTAAACTTACTACTGAAAAATCGAAATATCTGATAAACGTTTACTTATCAGATATGATATAAATCCCCTCTAACGCTATGTGATTTATATGAGTGTAGATTATCATGTACTGTGGGAGTGGGGTGGGGTGGGGGTGGGTGGGGGTATGGGGTTACGGTTGGACTTAGTGTGGTATAAGGATTACGTATAAACGCTCCTTTATGTTGCATTTTCCCCCGCATTTATGTATACATATGTAGGATATTGCATGAATTTTGATTTAATGAGATGCATGAGACAAATTTAAGGATATTTCATCAAAGCGAACGCCTGGCTGGCAAACTTGGAAACAGAACACGACGAGTTTAATAATTACCAACAGGATGGGAGCAAACATATCATATAATGTCAAATGGTTATACAATTTGTTAATGTTGCAGGAAACGATAGCTTTCTTGTCTGATGTGGTGT